GCCTATAGAAGTCTCTTCGTTAAATAGAGCAAATATTTCCCAAAGACTTCATGTGACCTCCACTGCTGTAGCTGACATGTTAGGCTTTCCAATGAAATCCTTGGTGTGTTTGCAATTAAAATGTTTTTGTTTGATATTAATGATGATAATCTTTACCAAGACCAAAGCTAAAACAAACAGGACTGTGGAAGCAGAAAATCAAGACATAATAACTTGGTAAAGATAAGAAATTTAGGATTGAATCTGAGCTTATTTCTAGAGACAGGAATAAAATTTTCAAGTATAAAGTAATGAGTGGCTTTCTTTGTTATATTACTGTAGAAATTATATGTGGAATGTCAAATGTCAGCTTTCTCAAATTAACTTTAATTATCATACTTGGATCATTGAATTCTGAGCCTGAATGAACATTTTAGAAATCCACTTATGTCTGGTGGACTCATTTTTTGTTTGTTTGTTTCCTAAACTCTTTCATATATTTTGAGGGTGGGGAGAATGCCAAAATTCAGTGTTCCCAACTACTCTTGAGACTGGCAGAGAAAGCTAGGGGTGCTAAAAGTGGTTTCTACCCTTATTAAGATATTTTTGACTTAAAGTTAGAAGAATATACCCAGTAGTGCTTTTCTTTTAGCAGTATTTTATCCCATTCCTTTGTTTCAAAATCCCTCTTCCACAACACTGTACCTGGATTTTTAAAAAATATTTCAGTTTAAACTGTAAATATCTCACCTAATCCAATGCATTAGTTAATTAGCAATATCACGATATTTTCAAGAGCCAAACCATTGGGACTTTTCTCCCACAGACTCCTCCAGTTACTCCCTTAAGTTAATTAAATTTATAAAAGATGATGCTCAGTCCTAGAGGTTTCACTCTGAAAAAAGCAGTTTTTTGTAAGCCTAGTTCAGAGTCAGTCTGTGAGATGGAATGGCAGTGCCATGTGCTAGAACAAAGATAATGCTGTAAGAACTAGTTACTTTCTCTACTCTCAAGGCTGCTAAATGTCCTTACTTAGGGCTTTGATCTCTCCTGGGAGTCTTCGAATTCAAGCAGAGGCCAATGTCTTCCTCAGCTGTCTTCTCCACAAATTCTTCCAGCAGCTCTGGCAGGTACTAATGTGTTTACTTAGGTGTGCCTCATTCCCAGAGCGAATAGCAGTTTGAAGTTGTTTGGCATATTGTGAAGTCATCTATAATAAGCAAAAATCTCAAGAACAACTCCTTTATCCAAGAGTTGTCTGCAGGTAGGGGCAGAAATGCATTGAAATGGATTTATCTTTCTATGTATATTCCATCTCTCCCTCTAAGAGAAGCATGGAAAATTTTCAATAATGCAGGATTTTTAGGATGGTTAAAATTTACTAGGAAAGAAAGCCATGAGCATCATTTTGCTGGTGTGGTCTGTCCATCAACACTAGTTTGTTGCCATAATGCTTAAATTAAAATAGGTTCTGCTTAGGAGGGAAAAAAAAAAAAACTTGGTGATTACTTAAAATTCATTGCAATTAAAACCTGTTTGTAAGTTTCATTTTAATAAAATTAAACATGCATTTATTTTTGTTCAGAATGTAAAATGAGGGAAAGAGGTGAATAAACTGTCTATCTACTTCACCAGAACCTTGGTAGCTCTTCATTTACAACACCAGGTGTGGCTGAGTTTTCATCTGCCTACCGTGAAGCTTTCCTAGCAGACAGTGTTGGAATATCATTTCTCACAAACTGTTTACATATAAAATAAATGTGAGTTTTCTCTGTCAAAAATTAACTCTGTAAAGAATTGGAGAAATAGTGGAAAACATTATACGTTCATTCTGTGAAGAGCAAAAGCCAATTTAGTGTGATTTTGAGTCCAAGAGGGCACATAGATAACTAGTAGATCTTTTTGAAAGAAAGCAATTTTTTAACTTTTCCCATGCTTCCCTGTTTAATTTCCCCACTCAAAAAAATTATTTTTCTCTGTCTCGCTCACCCAGTTCCCCATTTTTCTCTGTCAAGATCTCCCCTGAGAAAAGGGCAGCAGAACCTGTCCTGAATTGGGGGTCCCCAGTCACCGTCGAGGCGCCGGCTTCCGTCCTTCTTTGCATACAGACAACCATTTTTGATCTCTTTTCTTCTCTCGGCCCTGACAGTGGTTTAAAAGTTTTGCCTCGTTTTTTACTTTGGTGCTCTGAGATCCTATTTTCAGCACTTGAGTCCCAAGGGCCCTCAACCCCGGACCCGGTTTGCCCCCTCGCAAGTCCCATTAAGCCGCTGGGCGCTTGTGTTTTCTCGGCTTCTTTAGTTATACTGGCACTCCTGTGAATTTGTTTTGAGATCACCTTACCAAAGACAGCCCTCACCTCTGAGAACGACGGCTACTGACAGAGCTCCTGAGTGACAGCGTCTTCCCAGGCACGGGAGCCCAGGGGAGGAAGCGGAGGAGCGAGCTGTGGCGATTCTGCTCTGACCTGCTAAGGAAGTGCGCGGAGCCCGAATTGATTTTGAAGGACACGAAGAAAATCACCTCCAAGAAAGGGAACTCTAACGGCGGGATGCCTAGTTTCCAATCCTGTGTGCTCTGGGGCAAATCACCTAGCCCCGTGAGCTTCCATTACCTTCTTCTAAAAAGTGAGTTCAAACATAGCTCCCACAGGGTGGGTCTTGGGGAGTATTAATTGAGTTAATATATGCAAAAGGTCGAGAACAGTGCTTGGCAAAGAGAAAACGTTCCCTAATTGTTAGCTATTAATACACCGTGCAGAGGGGATCGGGTACAAAGTACTTCTAGTGCTTTCAGAAATTAGTCGAAATGTGAGCAGAAGTGTAGCCTCTATCTTTCACTTAAACTTCACAGACCAAGTTTATTTGTATCCAAATCACAACTTTGTTTTAGCTGTGCCAAAGGTGCTAACGTGTGGACTCCATAGCCAAAAACAGTGGTTATATGGTTGCTGACCAGAGCCTGCGGGACTTGGCTGAGAATTCCTGGGTGGGAATGTCTACCCGTTATTGTATTTCAGAGGTAGCAATGTGCTGTTCGTTTGAATGTGTCCATCAGTGTGGATGGAGTCTTAGGCTGTGCCCAGGTACTTCAGGAACTTGACTCTTGACTCTTGTGTCTGGTGTAGCCTGGGTACCGTATTCATTTCAAAGGCATAGACTTATTAATAGCCCTAAATAAGGTGCAGATGGATTTCCCACTGGCCAGACGATTAAGCAACCCATTGGTGTGAGAAGGAGCCTGATTAGGGGGTATCTTTGTCTTAGGGATGTCAGGACAGGGGAGACAGAACAGTGATGGGCACAGCTAGCAAACCTTAGTAACTGACATTGTCACTCTCCCACCCCTGGTTTTCAGAGCCTTTACTTTGGAAAGAAGATTACATCCTGAAAAAGGTAGTACTGTACTTGTCTGGCTTCCACAGAGGCCAGATCAGCCATCCAGGTTTGCTTTAGGAAAATCATTTCATGAAAAGATAATACAAAGGAAAGCTTGCCTCCCCCAATAACTTTGGAGCCATAACACTTATTGGACTAGCTGACCCTAGGTCAAGTTGAGAACACTTCCTCTTCTTTTAATAGGGCAAGAAGCCCTGGTCCAAACCCCCAGACTATTTGTACAGACTTTAAACAAGTGTTTTTCTTAAATATAAACAGCACCTCTCAACCCAAGTGATCTGAAAGTGGGTGAAGAGTGGAGAAGGATTGGTAAAAGTTGATTAATAGATTCATTCTCATTTAAATAGCAGCCCTTCCCTCTCTCCTTCTACCCACCAAAGTTTCAAAGACTCTGCTGCAATTGCTTTACTGGAAGGGTTTTGTCTCCAAAGTGTGTGAAGTTACTCCGGATTTGAGGAGTTGGAAATTTTACACGAGTGAGGATTGCTGTGCCAGCAGCTGGGACACATCTGTAACGGTGTTAGTTTGCCTGAAAGCAGAAAATTAGCGACCCCAAAGCCCAGCTTGGCTGTTTAGTCTGTAGAAATCACAGGGCGGAGCAGAAAGAAAGGGAGACTCGCTCCAGGAAAGGGAGTTTGCCATCTAAAATTGGGCTTGATTGCACATCTTAGAGACACTTTCACTGCAGATCTCTGGCCTGCTCAGGGTCTAGCAAAGGCCTGGCACAAAGGAGGAGGCGTTCAGCAAATGTGTGCAAAAGGGGGAAAGACAGGAAGTAAGAAGAGAGAAGTGTTCCTGGTCACCTGGCCCTGCTGTGACCACCTGTGACCACCTACTTTTAGATGAGCAGATTTATAGGGAGAACTCAGAGCCAGTCCTGTCTTGGCAAAAGGAATCTCTCCACCTATCCCCAATAATATACAGCCTATGAAAATGACAATCTGATCATCTCAATCTATACAAAATAGATTTAAGAAAACAAACTCTAATCCACTCCAGGATTGAAAGTGTCACTTCAAGTTTTTAGCAACGGTTATTCAGTCCACTGACTGGAAAAAAATTCCTGAGATAACTAAGGTTCGCGCAGAAGAGAAACAAACACCTAAAAACGAGGTTATTCCTCGTGTCCGATATTGGGAGGGCAGGTCGGTTGAAAGGGAGTTCTATTTATTATTGTCTTTAAATGTGTGAGCAGTTGCAGAACGTTGGACTTCCTTCGTTTGTTCTGTGCGTAACACTAAGTGATCCCTTGGTTTAGGGTAACTAGCTATTTATTATTGTCTTTAAATGTGTGAGCAGTTGCAGAACGTTGGACTTCCTTCGTTTGTTTTGTGCGTAACACTAAGTGATCCCTTGGTTTAGGGTAACTAAAGAGTGCAAGTGGGCAGGTTGCAGAGCCGTCTCTCGCCCCAGTAGAAATGCAGTAAAACCATTAGCGTCAAAAGGAGCAGTAAACAGCAAATTGTCCCAGGAGGAAAGGCGGAGGTTTGCCCAGACAGCCCCCGCGGGGGTTGCGGTGGGATATGCTAATAGTGGCCGGACACGGGGGCCGGCCTCCCTCGCCCAAGAATATAAAAAGAGCCCCAACCCCGGCCTGCCGATCCAGGCCGACAGGAGTCTGCCCTTGTTAATTACCCGAGAAACCGACCAGGAGCTCCGCCCGGGATCTGCCCTCCCGCAGTCGCTCCTGGCTCCCGGTTCTCTCCTGTCCCTCTCGCCTTGGTCCAGGTGCACCGCAGGCCTCTCGGCAGGATGGACATGATGGACGGTTGCCGGTTCTCGCCTTCTGAGTACTTCTACGATGGCTCCTGCATCCCGTCCCCGGAAGGTGAGTTTGGGGATGATTTTGAGCCGCGAGTGGCTGCTTTCGGGGCGCACAAAGCAGAGTTGCAGGGTTCAGACGAGGACGAGCACGTGCGAGCGCCTACCGGGCACCACCAGGCTGGCCACTGCCTCATGTGGGCCTGCAAAGCGTGCAAGAGGAAGGCCACCACCATGGACCGGCGGAAGGCAGCCACCATGCGTGAGCGGAGACGCCTGAAGAGGGTCAACCAGGCTTTCGAGACGCTCAAGAGGTGCACCACCACCAACCCCAACCAGAGGCTGCCCAAGGTGGAGATCCTCAGGAACGCCATCCGCTACATCGAGAGCCTGCAGGAGTTGCTGAGGGAGCAGGTGGAGAACTACTACAGCCTGCCCGGACAGAGTTGCTCCGAGCCCACCAGCCCCACCTCCAACTGCTCTGATGGCATGGTAAGCGAAGCTCTGGGACCTGCTCGGCTGCCCCAATGTTTTCTAAAAATCCTTACACCTCATTTAACCCACAGGTAGTGGGGAGGTGGGGTGCAGGAGTCGCAGAGTTGTTTTTAGAGAAGAGAGGTGTCTACATTTAGAAAGATGTCAGGAAACAGATTGCTGTTGAGCAAGATTTTAGTCTGACTTCCTACCAGGTTCTAGGTGTACATTGTAGTTGAGGTTTGGCATGTGAGATAGGTGGCTGTGTATGATCAAACTTCTTACTCAGTTTATTCCCAAAATATCCCCCCAGTAGACCCTGCCATACACAAACATCAAAAGGCAATTAATTATCTGAAGCTCCCAGTGCCCCACAGTTTATAACTTACTGAAGAAATGGAAAGAAATACCGCATGGTCCCAGTTCTTGCTCTGCTAAGGCCTGGCTGGAAGGAGATGTTGATGCATTCTTTTCAGAGGGCGTTTATTCCAGCGCTGCCAGATTTTAATGTGTTTTTGCCCTGGGAAAGTGTTCTGTCCCTGAATTAGTGTGGCTTCCTTCTACTCCAATCCATTTTGCATGGTTAACCCAACACACATTGCTGCTGAATTCCACCCCCCTCTTCCCTTTGCTGCTGCTCTCCTCTCCTTCAGGCACAGAGATTGACCTTGGTGTCCTGGGAATTTGGAGAGGGCTTGCCCTTCCTAAATCAAGGCAACGAAGGTGATTGAGAGTGGTCAGTTTATGGAGCTGGTGGGCAAGTACTGCCTCACTCTAGGTCAGGGCATCTTTTGCCAAGACCTGAAAACAAATTTCTTCTGTGTCTTATTTTGTAGCCTGAATGTAACAGTCCTGTCTGGTCCAGAAAGAGTAGCAGTTTTGACAGCGTCTACTGTCCTGATGTATCAAATGGTAAGAACTGGTCACTTCTGAGGAGTTTAAAGAGCGGTTCAACCTCAAAATTCAGCCTATCAAAGCAGATCTGTTTTTCCAGGTAGTACTGAGGAAGGGATGGAAATGGGGAAGCCTTAGCAGAGCAAAATAGATGAACATTTTCTGCTCCGGAATCCCTAACAGATACACACACACACACACACACACACACACACACGAACACTTTTGCTTGAAATATTACCAGGGAGCTTCCTTCCCTACTTCCCACCATCACTCCCAAGAATTGTCAGATATTTGCTGCAAATTTCTACATCTGGATTTCTGTGACCACCTGACCTGTGGGTGTCAAAGGAGCTGACCTACAGTTTAAGGGGCAACATAAGCAAGTCTGTCTATCTGGGAATAATTTTTTTGCAATGATTTTTTTCCTTGTATCCTTAGTATATGCCACAGATAAAAGCTCCTTGTCCAGCCTGGATTGCTTATCCAGCATAGTGGATCGGATCACCTCTTCAGAGCAACCTGGGTTGCCTCTCCAGGACCCGGCCTCTCTCTCTCCAGTTGCCAGCACTGATTCACAGCCTACAACTCCAGGGGCCTCTAGTTCCAGGCTTATCTATCATGTGCTATGAACTAAATACCAAGCCTAGATCAGTTCTTCCAGGAGGGCCCATTACACAGGAGGAAGGAGGCCCCAAAACGTCCCAAACCAAGGCAACCTGTATATAGAGATTTCAGTTGTAAATTTGTAAATATTATCTTGCCACTTTATAAGAAAGTGTATTTAACTAAAAAGTCACCGTTGCAATTAATACTTTCTCATTTTTCTTTGTTTTTCTTTTTCTTCTTTGCTTTAGATACATAGTTACAACAATATTATTTCTGATAGAGAGCAAGTCTTTGAAGGTAGCTTGTTGCAATGCTTAACTTATATATATATATATATTTTTATAAATATTGTCATCAAAATATTATCTCTGTTTAGGTCTTCATTTTTTTCCTTCAGAACACTAGGAAAGCTGAGAATCAGTTACAGGGAACTTTAAATATATTTAACTTTTGCTTTTCTCTTTAATCCTTTGGTTATATTGTATTAAATAAAAATATAACAATACTGCCTAATGGTATATATTTTGATCTTTTCTTATAAGAAATGCATCTTTTTAATGTAAGCACAAAATAGTACTTTGTGGATAATTTCAAGATATAAGAAATTTTGGAAATTCCACCATAAATAAAATTGTCTACTACAAGAAACATTTTGGTTCATGACTTTTTAAAAGAATACCCCTAATGGAGTCAGCAGTCATTGACATGATATCTTTAAGGCTGGGCTGAAAATAATCAAACAGTTAGCTCTATCGATAAATCTGAATATTTATCATCTCATGGAAAGTTTAGGTCCTGTTGATGTCACAAATGAAAATATCATATTTTAAAGATACTTCAAGGGAGCCTGCTAAATGAAATTTTGCTTTATCTTTTTATGGTCCCATATAAAATCAAGTTGTATGTGTGTGTGAAGGGGAAGTAGAAGTTATTCAGGACAATAACACTTATTTAAACAAAGAGACTGTACAACATGACATCATTTCAATACCTATAGGGCATTAGAAATCATGAATTATGTCATATTTAATTTCCTACCTATCTGGAAGTAAATTAATATGCTAATATTGTCAATAAACGATTTTACGCTGTTGGGCTGATTTTTTGTATTGTTAGAGTGCCAGCGTAAGAAAACTTACACAAACCACAGTAAATTAAAGCAGATTGCAGTTGTCTTCCTCCTTTTCACAGCCTTTTAAATTTTATGTTAGAGTCCTATTGTGTGTGTGTGTGCATGTGTATGTGAAATGAACATGTTTCTTTTATTGTTAATCACTTTAGATCTCCTCCAGAAAGAATTGAGATAAAAACAAATCCCAGAATGATTAAGTGGAAAATTAGGTTGAGACAATCATTGGGATAATTCTCACGAGCTTACCATTGAGAGAGATAAAAAAGAAATATCCTTGAAGCATCTAAAGTAGCTGTTCGAAGAGAACAAACACAGATAATTGTTTCACCCTCTAATTTGTACATTAGTCTAAAATTGCTAAAGGCTTGTGGTTATATATATTAATATATCATCCCATAAGGAGAGAGAACAGCTGAGTTAAAAAAGGTAGTATGTCCACTCTCACTCTGTTAGCATAATGGCCTGAAATGGGATGCTGATTTTAGCACACAGACAAGTCTTTTTTAAATCTGTGATTCAGATGTGTGAGGATTTTAGGTGAAGAGAATTCAAGAGGACATGATAGAGATTCATATATAGTTTCAACATAAGTTTGAGCTATTCACTTTTGTTAGACACTGTGCTAGGTACATTTTCTCCTTTTTTTTTTTTTTCTTTAGTTTGAGCTATTCACTTTTGTTAGACACTGTGCTAGGTACATTTTCTCCTTTTTTTTTTTTCTTTGTTTTCCCCTTTTTGTCTTTTTTTTACAACCCTCGGTGTTGCGCCCACACCGCGCTCAGCCAGTGAGCGGGAACCGGTCTCCACATGGGATCCGAACCCTCAGCGGGAGCGCTGCTGCGCTCCCAAGCGGCGCACTCTTCAGTGCGCCACCGGGCCGGCCCTACATTTTCTCCTTTTGATACTCCTGTGGAGAAGTTGGAAATTTGTTGTTCTTAGTAGAATCAGAAAGAGAAAAGCTATTCAAGTATTGGTTTGTTTTTTTAAGTTCAACTTTTAAACACTTTGCCATCTTCTGTTCCATTTAATAAAATTAAGCAGAAAATATAATGAAATTTTTAGTTCGAGTGAATGAAAATAATTTTTTTCTTACCAAATCTTAATTACTTCTATAACTTTTGCCATTGTATTTGATATTCTCAGTGAATATTATAAGGATTCAAAGTAGTTAGAGCTTTTCCAGGGATCTGGATTTAATACAGGTGGTGATCAACATATGATATAAACAATACTCTCCATGCCAGGTTCAATTAATCCTACTTCCAATGTACTGACACTGAAGGCTGATGTCTACTTAGTAAGTGGCTCAGCACAACACATTTGCAGTCACATATACTTCTTTTTGAATAAGGGGCTTTTGAAAATTGGCTCTCCAATGATTCATACCTGGAAAAGTCTTCTTTTCCCCAAGAAAGTAGGGGGAAGGAGTGAAACTGATAAAAGATTTAAGTAGAATTTTGCCATCTATAAATCTGGAATGAATAGCTGGGCGGCCTTTATGTTTGTAGCAGACCACTCTACCTCAGCTGGTGGAAAATACTCAACCAACCAACAGTCAAATTTCTAGGAGTAACCAGAGCAATGTTCTCTTCCCTGTCTGCATATCTGATGATGAGAAATTTACCAGGAAATGAGGGTCAAAAGAGCCTATTTTCTCCTCATTCCTGGGAAATGCAAGCTTGCTGAGTTACATATGAAAATGGAATCTGGTGAGGTTATGGAAATTGGTAAGTGTATTTGAAAGCAAGTTCCTACACGACTCACAGTGTCTCAGATGTTTCTATTTGAAAGATTCAAATCAGATAAAATTGATTTGAATTTTAAATCAATTCAAATTGAGAATCTGGTGAGGTTATGGAAATTGGTAAGTGTATTTGAAAGCAAGTTCCTACACGACTCACGGTGTCTCAGATGTTTCTATTTGAAAGATTCAAATCAGATAAAATTGGTGGCTATCTTATACCCATAAATTTAACTTTGAAATCATATTCTCACAAATACTTAATCTGAAAGTGGTATTTCCTGAGACTCTCTCTTTGGAGTTATAACAGTTACTAGGTTAAAGTGGTAATTTAATTCTCTGACTTGCGGAGGCGGCAATTCTGGGAATGATATTAGAGTGCAGCTATTTGTAACTTCAGAAAAGCTCCACTTGAATAGCAAAGCACCCCTGAAACTATCATCACTGAATGTTCCCACATCTTGTCTGAAAAAGCACAGGACATCAAACTTGTTTGCTCTAAGAAGTTTGATTATAGATATTTTAGTTGATTAGTGATTTAGCTTATGATAAGATTATAAATAGTGACCACTAAAATCACTAATTGTTACAATCTTATAAAATTAATTCATTGTAAAGGGAAAAATAAACCAAATTCTATCTCCATTTATGCTACTTAATTCACTTCATTGCAGATTAAGTAGGGAATAATGATAAAGCAACAACTAGCAAATTTGGGGTGCTTATTGTTATGCAAATAAGGAAACTGAGGCTTAAAGAGATTGATAATTTGTCCAAGAACACACAGCTGGCTATTTGGGTTTCACAACACATCTTCGAAGAGGCTCAGGCAGAAGTTACAAGGCCTCTTATGACTTAGCATTGAAAGTCTCAGAGCATTACTTTTGCTGCATTCTTCTGGTAAAGCAAGTCACTAAGCCTGTCCCGGAATCAAAGAGAAGCACACTAAACTCCACTTATCAGTGGAGGAAAGAGTAATGAATTTGTATCTGTATTGAATCTACCACAGTGACTAGTATATGCTTGCAGTCTCTGTTTCCTTACCTTTTACTCATTCCCCTGAGTGTAATATGGCTTCTGCCTCTATCACTGTCCATAATCACTGATAACCCTCAAAACAGTAGACTGTCCTAGTCTTTGCCAAGCTTACACCTCTAGGTCAGATGTCTTAGCTGGTCTTTAGTCCTGTATATACGACTATCTTCTTAACATCTCTTGGAAGTCTTAATGGCATCTCCAACTCAATATATTACAAATTAAACTGGTCTTCTTTCCCCTTTCTCCCAACTCCTAAACCTGGCCCCCTTTCAATTTTGACTCCCTCAGTGGTAACAACACCAGTAATGTAAACATGAAATTTAGAACATATTCCTGATATCTCTCTCTCTCTTACTCTTTCATCTAATTCATTAGAAAATCCTATGAATTTACTCACCTAAATATCACCCAGATCTCTACCCTTATTCCAAACTATGCCTATCTCTCTCCAGGAATAGCATAAGATCCTCTTAACCTATTCTTAAATAATTACTCTGGATCTCCCTCTTCTGGTCACAGCATCCAAGTTTTTCTGTGGGGACTGTCTTTTTCCTCTTTTAAGGTCATTTTTGTTCCAGTAGGATTGACAGTACCACCTGGCTCCAGAAGTGAGCAAGCCATTCAGCCTTGACCATAAGTATGTCCTCTTCCTTGACCAAATGATTGTTTTATGGATGGATATGTGACCCAAGTTGTTCAATAAGTGTCAGTCTGTGATATATTGATGGAAAAGGAGGTTCTTTTTCTGCAGGGGGGGATGATATATGAGATTTTTGACTCTAGGCTGCCAGCTGTCATCTTACCCCCAGGAGAGAAGATCTTGCCTAAATATAAGCCAACACAGTAGAAAGCAGAGCTGTGATGCAGGGAGATATGTTCCTGAAAACATCATTGAGCATCCAGATTCTAAAATGCCTGAACATCTATTCTTGGCTATGCTTGACAATTTTGGAACCAAAAAATGATCTTTTCTTTTATATCAGTATGAGCGGGAATTTTGTTGATTGAAACAGAAATAATGTTGCATAATACCACTCTTCGATCTCTTCTCTTGCAGCCAGAGCAATTGTCTCAAAATATTCATCTGATCATGTAACCATTCTGTTTTCTCTCCCAGCTCATTGCATGTAAGGTAACAACAGAGCAAACTCATTCACATAACCCTCGAGGTTTTCTATGTCAGTCTCCTACCTACCTCTAGCATTACCTCTTTCTAGTCAAGCCCCTGTTCTCTCCACTTCAGCAACAGGAGGGAATTTTATCAGTCATCATGTTCCTTCCTGCCAAAGGGGCTTTACACATTCTGTTCTCTCTGTCTGCAAGAGAAGAGATCGAAGAGTGGTATTATGCAACATTATTTCTGTTTCAATCAACAAAATTCCCGCTCATACTGATATAAAAGAAAAGATCATTTTTTGGTTCCAAAATTGTCAAGCATAGCCAAGAATAGATGTTCAGGCATTTTAGAATCTGGATGCTCAATGATGTTTTCAGGAACATATCTCCNTTCCTGAAAACATCATTGAGCATCCAGATTCTAAAATGCCTGAACATCTATTCTTGGCTATGCTTGACAATTTTGGAACCAAAAAATGATCTTTTCTTTTATATCAGTATGAGCGGGAATTTTGTTGATTGAAACAGAAATAATGTTGCATAATACCACTCTTCAATCTCTTCTCTTGCAGCCAGAGCAATTGTCTCAAAATATTCATCTGATCATGTAACCATTCT